TGCCTGGTGGCCAGAGACAGCACAGCAGGTGCTCAAGAAAGAACTGCAGAGTTTGTCTCCCCAGCTGGAGGCCCAGTGAGGGATCATACACATCTTGGAAAGAGGATTGCTGAAAATGTCAGTCCTCGGACCAGGAACACTGACATTTTTATTTTAAGAGGCAGCATTGGTGCATCTGGGTAAAGAATGTGAAAATGTGATATACTCTTTGTCAGACAGATGGACATCAACACAGCCTCTCCGGGAAGCTAGCACTCCCCAGAAGCCAGCATGTTAGCAACATGTAAACATGCGCGCTTGCTGACCTGCCGGGTCACTAACACAGCCGGCCAGCTAGAAGCATCAAAGATGCACACACGAGACGCCAGTTTGCTTCCAGACATTCACAGTCGGGTTGCTGGGGCAGAAAGCACAGCAGCCATGCTCACCCTCATTCCTGCTGCACCGGGTGTACCTCCATCACCGTCCTCTGCGGGGCGGGAAGAGAACCACATTGGCCACCGTCATGCCCCAGGAAGCCCCTGGTACAGCCGACTGTGGGGAGCAAGAGTCAGGAGAAGACACACGGCCCCTCTCGTCTCTCCAGTCAGCGCGCCAGCCGCCACTCTGAAAGCAAGGTAGTCTCCCTGGTGGGTGAACACGCCCGGCCTCTGTGAACCTCACGCCCACGTAACATCCCCTGAGATGCTGACGGGGCAGTTTAGAACTACTTACTAGACTCCCACTGAAACTGAGGGTTACTAGGAGCAAGAGATAATTCTAATGGATTAATGACAATTTGTAAACAGGAAGTAAAGGGTAAAAAATCCTGCTATTGGGGGGCTGGCGCCGTGGCTCACTTGGTTAATCCTCCGCCTGTGGCACACATCCCATATGGGCACCGGGTTCTAGTCCCGGTTGCTCCTTTTCCAGTCCAGCTCTCTGCTGTGGCCCGGGAAGGCAGTGGAGGATGGCCCAAGTGCTTGGGCACCTGCACCTGCACGGGAGACCACGAAGAAGGACGTGGCTCCTGGCTTCAGATCGGCACAGCACTGGCCGTAGTGGCCATTTGGGGAGTGAACCAACAGAAGGAAGACCTTTCTCTCTGTCTCTCTCTCTCACTAACTCTGCCTGTCAAAACAAACAAACAAACAAACAAACAAACCTGCAATTGGAACAGCTTCATTCTCCTGTCTTCTGACATGTGTTACAAGTATGCACGTGTTGTATGTTGTGTTACATGTGTGTATGTTGTGTGTACAGGGTACAAATCCCTAAGAGCTTGTTTTAACTGACTTACAGATAAATGGGCACGCATATGAATTAAGACTATTAAAGGAACCCACATGTCTTTTACATCATGAGACATAAGTCTTTTCAGAAATAACTATTTTAAGTTTGTTGATGAATAAAAGAAGACATCTTCAAAACTGTTAGCTACCATTGTGCCTGGGTTTGCTGGCCAGACAGGGTCATACTGATCTCTGGTGTTTAAGATGATAAAAATATAAATTTAATCTAAATATATGTTGAAGTACAACACATTATCTATGTATCGTGTGTAACAATTTAAGTTTAAAAATAACTTTTTGTCTAATATCTCAATTATCAACAATCTAGTACAATTATTAAAAATAAATTGGGTGAATATAAGTGAGAGAAACATTTCTAAATATAAGTTAAAGCATTTTGGGGCCGGCGCTGTGACATAGCAGGTATCCCATATGGGCACCTGTTCAAGTCCCCACTGTTCCACTTCTGATCCAGCTCTCTGCTGTGGCCTGGGAAAGTAGTAGAAGATGGCCCAAGTCCTTGGGCCCCTGCACCAACATGGGAGACCCGGAGGAAGCTCCTGGCTCCTGGCTTCAGACTGGCCCAGCTCTGACCATTGCAGCCATTTTGGGGAGTGAAGCAGCGGATTGAAGACCCCTCTCCTTCTCCCCTTGCCCCTCCCCTGCCCCTGCTCCTGCCCCTGCTCCTGCCCCTGCCTCTGCCTCTCTGTAACTCTGCCTTTCAAATAAATAAATATATCTTTTTTAAAAAACCATTCGGCTTCTTATATCTGTAAAAAGATAACGTATTTGGGTCTGTTAACAAATATGTTTTCACAAATTACCAACCACTGAAATGAAATTTTGTGCCTGTCAGGATAATCCCTTGCACTCTGTGTCTTTACTGGATTTTGATTGTTGGGAAAAATGAGTCTTCAGTTATGAGTTTTGCTGCCTGTCTCTGGACCCTTGCCCTTTAGTGGGTCTGCCTGAGTGCAGCCACCCTGATGGAACAGGTGGTGATGATTCCACGGTGATCAAGGACCCTGCTGTGACCAGAGGTTCCTAAGGTTTTTGATCATCTCTGACAGGTTTCTCAAAAGCAAACCTCCAGGGGCGGCTGCTGCCTGAGGAGAACTCGGTGCACAGGAGAGCTCTGGTCTGAGTCCTGGCTGCTCCACTTCCGACCCAGCTCCCTGCTAAGGCACCTGGGAAGGCAGCGGAAGGTGGCCCATGTGGCTGGGCCCCCTGCACCTGCGTGGGAGACCCAGGTGGAGCTCCCGCTGCCCGCTCCTGGCTCTGGGCTGGCCCAGCCCTGGCCAGACAGGGTTACACTATGAAACACCTGGGGAGTGAAGCAGCAGATAGAATACGTCTCCCATCATCTAGACTCTTCCCCGTGAGGGGTGCTCACGGCACAGGCAGGCCCTCACCTAGGCCCTCACTGCCACCATTGCCACATCTGCCCGTGGTGGCTCAGAGAGGGCAGGCGGGGTCTGTCCCGTGTACCGGATGCTTCTCGAATCCACACTCTGCAGGATCAGGAGACCAAGTGCTGCCCTGATGGCCAGAGCAGCCGACCCCAGGGATCCACTGCCGGGTCAGAGAAGCCAGTGTGTAGGGCAGATCTCCACTGTGCTCTTGAGGGGCTGGGCCTGGACAGCCATTGTTCCAAGAAAATGACCTGCCCCTGGCCTCGGGTTGGCCTGGGCAGAAGGCTGCTGGGGTCTGTGGTCTCCCCTGACCACTGCATTCAGGGCTGCCCGGCTCACCCTGCTGCTCTCTCCCCTCAGGGTTTCCTCCTTCTCCCGAAACACCAGCCACTGATTCCTCGCATGCTGGTGGGTCAGGCGCTCCTCCTGCAGCCTGGGCACTGCACACCCTTAGGGGCTCCTCTGCACGCTGCGGGGGAACAGGGTGAGCCGTGAGTGACATCAGCTCTGCCTGGTGCTCCGTGAGGCCCAAGGTGAAGTCAGAGTCAGGGCTCCTCCCTCTGGGCAGACACCGGGCTCCATCCCTGGGTTTCCCGGCCCTGTCTGTCCTCTCTGGGCTCCTCTCCCGGTGAAGGGAACTTGGGCCACCAGAGGGCGCTGGTTGTCACAGTCTGGAGGCCTCGGCCAGCATTCACATCACCTTGTGGGCAGGCCGAGGCCTCCAGCTCTGGGTGACTCTCCAGGACCAGGAGGGCCCACAAGCCACGCTGATTTGCTCGGGGAAAGTGCGTGCGCAGGGAGCCCTGTGCTGTCTCAGGCTGGGCCGCCCTGCCCTGGTCAGTGAGGCATCACGAAACACAGAAACGGAAATTAAAAATTACAAAAGCTTGGCTAATAAGCTCAGGGCAATCCGAGACCCCACGCCTGCCCAAGCATCCCCCTGCGAGCTGTGCCTGCAGCCTCCTCCCAGGCCTCGCCTCCACCTCCCCACCAGGTGAAAATCAGCAGCCAAGACCAGGCCGAGGTGATGCGGGGGGGGGGGGGGGGTGCAGCAGGTCCCAGCTCCACCCACCCAGAGAAAACGATCCGGGCAAAGACAGACTCCAGGCAGGTGGAGGCAGCGCAGCACAACCTCCAGCCCCATCACTGCGCCCTGTAAGCCAGCCCCTCGCCCCGACAATTCACACTCCCAGGGCCACCTACCAAACAGGGGCAGGTGCCCAATTCCCAGAAGTCACCACCGCTACCTCAGAACAAGAGCGTCCTGCCCACACACGAGCACACAGGACCCGGCACTGGGGGCCGCCCACAGTCTAGGCTTCGCGCCTCCCTCAGTGAAACTCTGGCTCACGGCTGATCTCCATTTCACCAACGCCAAGGACTCCCTGAGGCTGCAGGGCCCACGCGGGGCCCCCGGCTCCCCTGTCCCAACACTCCCTTCACCCCGGGGAAGACCTCCAGGGAACTGTTTTGCTGGCTGGGGGAGGCTCAGGGCCGTCTCCACACCTCCTCCCTTGCTCATCAGGGAAATGAGATTTTAGGCAAACTCAGTTCAGCGAAGCCACATTTACCACCCAGGTGCGGCTCACTTGTGGCATCGGCATCGACCGAGGTCCTGCTTCGTAATGCTGAAAGGCTCCGGAACCCCGGAGAAGGGGCCCGAGCAACCACAAGACGCTCCGGCCACCTCTCTGGATGATTCCAAGCTGCCCCAGTCCTGTAGAGACCCCGGCTGCTTTGTGGGGGCGGCCACAGATGAAACACACCAGTTCCCTCACTCTCCACGTGGACAGAACCCGCCCGCCTGCAGGCCTAGAAAGTGGCCCGCGCCAACGGGCCTGTGTGGTGTGGGGGTGGCGGGGTGCTGAGCCGGGCCCTGACAGGCACCTGGGACCTCGTAGGGAAGAGCAAGCAGGCTGGGACCGAGGAGGGTGGCGGTAACGGTTCTGGGGAGGAAATTATGGCTCACTGCCTCGCTCCAATGGCCCGGACTTGCGCAAGCAGATACCAGGAAAAGGTAATTTGAGCGTTTCTGCGGCAATTAAGTGTTCACATGGAGAGGAAAGCACAAAGTGGAATTCAGAAAGATGCAACTCGCCGCTTCTTTGCAATCCATTTGCTCCGTGTGTCTGGCCGGGCCACCCACGGAGTGGAGCTGCTGGCCCAGCACAGGCAGCCCGCGGAGCAGGCAGGCACCCTGTCTGCATCTGCCACGGGGCTGCTGGCGTCCCAGGCGAAGCCTCTTTGCAAAGAAGCTACTGACCTCATTTTCCTTTGAATTAATTTAAAAAATTTATTTGAAAGGTAGAGGGGGTGGGGGAGGGAGAAGGAGGTGGGGAGGGGGGGAGAGACCCATCTTCCATCTACAGGTTCATTCCCCAAATGTGCAGCAGCCGGGGCTGGGCCAAGCCAAAGCCAGGAGCCAGGACCCCATCTGGGTCTCACAGATGGGTGGCAGGGACCTCAGTCCTTGGGCCATCGTCCACGGAGCAGGAGCTGGACTGGAAGTGGAGCAGCTGGGGCTTGAACAGTCACCCCCACATGCGATGTGGGCATCCTGAGCACCGGCATAACCTGCTGCAGCACAGGACCCATCTGCAGTGAATTTTCAGGGACTTTTACGTCAGCCCAGTCCCCAGGTCACGGTCCTTCTGCCTCAGCAGTGGCTGGGCCAGCTCTGCCTCTAGTCCACAGGGCTTGGGGCTGAGGGCACTGGGAGCAGTGTGCGGAAGACAGGCAGAGGGAGGGGAAGGAAGGGACACAGCAGAGGGGCCTGCCCGGGTGGGCGTCGACCAGTCCTCTGCTCTGACCACACCGCGTCCCTCCACAACCCCGCGAGGACTTCTTCCCGTGGCTCCTGGTGGTCACTCTATACAGGGCCTGCGTGAGCCAGCAGCAGCTGCAGGTGCTCGGGGCAGTGAAACCAGTTCCCAGAGAGGAGCCACCCTCTGCCCTGCAGGCACGCGCTCTGGCCCGCACTGTGCCTCCGCGTCTGAGCTCTGGACCTCCTCCTTCCAGGATGACTGTCCCGGCTGCAGGCAGACTCACTCCCGCGTACGGTGTGCCATTTCCTCAAGCTCTAATTACGAAACAGGAGCTCAGAAATGAAAGTGCCGGCGCTGGGCTGTAATTCCTGGAGTCTGGACGGAGACGGGCCTTCAATTAGGCTGTCCTGACTCCAACGGGCGCACACGCTCGGAGTCCCTTCCGCCGGCTGCTGAGGGACAGTGAAGGAGGGGCCGTCTCACAGACACCAGTCACGTGGCCACACGCACACACACACACACACACACACACACACCAGACCCTGCTAAGTCTGGGTCAGAGACGGGGAAGACAGGTGCTGTGGCCAGGACTCAACACTCAGGGCAGGCTGGGCAACTCGAACAAGGAAAACTCCCCTGCAATCCCTCGTGGGGCTCTGCTCACCTCCCAGGGCTCTGTTCTCACCTCCCAGGGGGCTCTGTTCTCACCTCCAGGGGCTCTGTTCTCACCTCCCAGGGGGCTCTGTTCTCACCTCCAGGGGCTCTGCTCACCTCCAGGGCTCTGTTCTCACCTCCAGGGGGCTCTGCTCACCTCCCAGGGCTCTGTTCTCACCTCCCAGGGCTCTGTTCTCACCTCCAAGGCTTTGTTCTCACCTCCAGGGGCTCTGCTCTCACCTCCCAGGGGCTCTGCTCTCACCTCCCAGAGCTCTGTTCTCATCTCCTGGACTATGTTCTCACCTCCAGAGCTCTGTTCTCACCTCCCAGGGCTCTGTTCTCACCTCCTAGGGGCTCTGCTCTCACCTCCAGAGCTCTGTTCTTACTTCCTGGACTCTGTTTTCACCTCCAGGGTTCTGTTCTCACCTCCTAGGGCTCAGCTCTCACCTCCCAATGGCCTCTGTTTTCACCTCCAGGGTCTGCTTGGGCATTCACTGCACATCCCCTTCCCCCATGCCAGTTCCCCTGAACCTGTTGTCCCCAAGTGCTCCCTTCCCTAAGTGACAAGTGGTTTCTCTCTCAGAGGTGGGACCCTCTAACAGCCCCCCTGGGGTCTGGGTCTGCATCTCCCAGTGGAAAGGGGTGGAGACCTTCCTCACCTCCAGCTGGTTGTGGTAACCGTGGGGGACCCCTGGAGGGCACTGCAGGTGAGATGGGCACCAAGACCTCTGCCTCAGAGAGCTCTGGCAGGGGTGCACCTCCCAAGGGCTCACTTCAGAGCTCAGCTTAGAGTGGAAGCTACTGGAAAGCCAATGGGCAGATGGCCCTCGAGACAGGCCCAAGAAGGGCAAGGAGCCACCCCACACACACACACACATAAAACTCCCGTGGACAGACAGTGGGGCAGCCCAAATGCTGAGCTGTCCCACACAGTGGTGAAGGAGGAACCTCTGGGCCTGCTCGTGTTGTCCCAGATAAGTAGAGCACAGGGAGTGGACCGGCCACCATTCTGGAGGAGGAGGGTCCTGCCTGGGCACCACAGTGACCCACAGGCACTGGCTACTTCCGGAGTGTCCACGGGCACTGGCTACTTTCAGAGTGTCCACGGGTACTGGCTACTTCTAGAGTGTCCACGGGCACTGGCTACTTCTGGAGTGTTCACGGGCACTGGCTACTTCTGAAGTATCCACGGGCACTGGCTACTTCCCAAGTGTCCACAGGCACTGGCTACTTCCCGAGTATCCACGGGCACTGGCTACTTCCGGAGTGTCCACGGGCACTGGCTACTTCCGGAGTGTCCACGGGCACTGGCTACTTCCAGAGCATCAGTGGACGTGCTTTCGTGCCTGGTATAGTGTAGAGCTGTGTTTCTGCTGGTGGTGCTGGGGGTTGGGTGGGTGTAAGGGTGCCAGGCGCCCACACGTCCCCAGGAAGACATGTCTGGTGCCAGGGGCACAACCAGGACAAGCCAAGTGCACAGAGACCATGTGGCCTATCTCCACCCTGCAAACCATGGGGGCTCTGCAGACCCTGTGCCATCTGCCCGTGGTGTCAGTCACTGGTGTGGTTGTCAGGTACCCTGAGGGGGAAAGGGTTGGGTCACAGCACACACTAACCCAGGGGACAGAGCTTCCCTGCCAGTCCCTCAGCGCCCCCTCCCTGCCACGGCCGACTGACCTGGCCCCTGTGTCCACCAGAGCCTGGCCTGGTGTTGCGTGGAGAGGGAGAACTGTGCGGTTCAGTGCTGAGAGCTGGGCTGCCCCGATGCTGGGCTCAGGCCTCAGAACCCAACCCCAGCCCAAGCTCCCAGTGTTGGCTCCCAGAGTGCTCCCCACGCCCCTCACCTCCTACAGGACGTGGTGCAGGCCACGTGCAGGAGGGAGCAGGTGGTCCCCAGGCTGGCCCACACTCAGACACGCAGCCCCACTTGCTCAGTCCTGTCCATGAGGGAGCAGACAGGGGCCTGGGAGTGGGCAGAGGGGGCACGGGGGAAGCAGCACCAGGGACTCCCCCGCCCTGCCCCCTCGGCTGTTCTCACAAGGTCCACACATCTGCTACTCCGCAGTCTGTCTGTCACAACCTTGGTCATTCTCTGCTGCCCAGTGCAGCCCAACACCACAAGAAAGGGAGACAGGAGGGGCAGGCGGCAGGTGTGGCAGCGAAGTCACAGCTCAGACACCCACACCCCGATTCCAGCTTCTTGCTGACACACACCCTGCAGGCAGCAGGTGGCCCCTCAGGTGTTTGGGCTCCTATCAACTCACATGGGAAACCTGGCTGTGGCAGGCATTTTGGGAGCAAACCAGTACATGAAACAGCTGTCTCCTTGCCTTTCAAATAAAATGAAAACTTTTTTTTTTTTTTTTTTCAGAAAAATGGAGGGAGGGGCCAGTGCTGTGGCATAGTAGGTTGAGCCTCCACCTGTGGCAACAGCATCCCATATGGGCGCTAGTTCAAGTCCTGGCTGCTCTACTTCTGATCCTGCTAATGTGCCTGGGAAAGCAGAATTTGGCCCAAGTCCTTGGGCCCCTGCACCCACGTAGGAGACCCAGATAATCTCCTGGCTCCTGGCTCAGATCAGGCCAGCTCCAGCCATGTGGGGAGTGAGCCAGTGGATGGAAGCTCTTTCTGTCTCTCCCTCTGTCTGTGACCCTGCCTCTCAAATAAACAAACCTTAAAAAATAAGAGGTGGAGGAGAGACAGGAAAGGCAGCCTGGGGAGGCCCAGCCGCAGAGGCCTGCCCACCGTCTCCTGCCTCCTGCCCAGTAGCCTTGCAGATGGCCCCCACGGGCCTGCAGCCACCCAGGGCACAGTGTGGGCCTGGGCTGCCCTGCCTTCTGTGCCAGGAGATTGCTCTCTGCATGTGGCTGGCTTGTTAAAGGTGCAGGTACCCGGCTGCTGCTCAGGAACTGGGAGCTGACCACGGCAAGGGGGGATGAGCAGTGCGTCCGTCCCTGCACAGGGACGCGAGGAGCCAGGGAAGCAAAGCCCCGGCCTGAGGGGCAGGGTCCAGGTGGGCCCTTCTGTCCTGGGGACAGCAGGTCACGGGCAGGGGACCAGCGAAGGTGTCACCACTGGGGTCTGGCAAATCTCCCTGTGACAACTTCGTGGCCACTGTGCCTGGGGCCTCCGGGCGTGTGCAGCTTCTGTGTGCAGGTGACTCTGCAGCCAGCCCGAGCCTGCAGTCCGCTCTGAGATCACCTTCCAGCAGCAGCTCTGGGCTCTGCACCTGTGACGCAGAGGCCAAACCCCTGTTTTGTGGGGCCTGGAACCACCTGTTCCCTGATTTCTCTCTAGAAGGAGCAGCTGGGGTGGAGGGCTGTCACCAGCTCTCTGGGGCTCCCCAAGTGTCCATGCCCCAGACCCAAGGAGACGGGTTCTGGTCCTGCAGAAGCTGCCTGCCGCTCTGCGCACACACACGGCCGGGGAATCTGACTGCTGCCCAGCGGCGCCTCCCGCCCACCCAAGGGGCTCCATCCTCACATGCGGGGACAACTCCTCTCACACCCCTTCTTCCAAAAATGCATTTTCAATGATTTCTTATGACCATGTGGGTATAAAGCTGTATACCATTCAAACTGGATTTATTATTCTATATCGATGATTACATTCATGTTCTGCTAATTTTAAAAGAGAAATTGAGAGTAAACATTTCTGGGCTGGCATAGTGGCGCAGCAGGTAAAGTCTCCACCTGTGAAGCATGCATCCCATACGGCTGCTCCTCTTCCGATCCAGCTCCCAGCTAACGGCTGGGAAAAGCAGTGGAAGATGCCCAAGTGTGTGCACCACTGCACCCACGTGAAAGGCCCAGATGATGCTCCTGCTTCAGCCTGATCCAACACTGGCTGTTGTGTGGTCATTTGGGGAACAAACCAGCACATGGAAAATTCTCTCTCTTTCTCTCTCTCTCTCTATTTCAAATAAAATAAATGAGCCCTTTTAAAAACTTATTTATTTGAAAGTCTGAGTTACACAGAAAGAGGAGAGGCAGAGAGAGAGAGAGAGAGAGGGAGAGAGAGAGAGGTCTTCCATACGATGGTTCAATCCCCTGTTGGCCACAACGGCCAGAGCTGCGCTGATCTGAAGCCAGGAGCTTCTTCTGGGTCTCCCATGTGGGTGCAGGGGCCCAAGGACTTGGGCCATCCTCCACTGCTTTTGCAGGCCACAGCAGAGAGCTGGATCAGAAGTGGAGCAGCTGAGACTAGAACCAGCGCCCATATGGGATGCCAACAATGCAGGTGGCGGCCCCACCTGCTATGCCACAGTGCCAGCAGCCCTGAGCTTTTCTTTTCTTTTCTTTTTTAAGATTTGTTTATTTATTTGAGAGGCAGAGTTACAGAGAAAAAGGTCTTACATCCACTGGTTCACTCCTCAAATGGCCACAACAGCCAGGGCTGGGCCAGGGCAAAGCCAGGAGCCAGGAGCTTCCTCCGAGTCTTCCAAGTGGGTGCAGGGGCCCAAGGACTTGGGCCACCTTCTACTGCTTTCCCAGGCCACAGCAGGGAGCTGGATGGGGAGTAGAGCAGTTGGGATTCGAACCGGCACCCATATGGGATGCTGGCACCACAGGCAGAACTACACCCCAGCCCTACCCCCAGTAAATGAATCTTTAAACAAAACACATTTCCGCGGAGTCCTAAAAGCATCGGGGCCTTCCCTGCTGGGCTCATGCTGAACGCAGAAGCAGCCTGAAGGCTGACTCCAACCCTCGGCGGCACTGCCCTCACTGTGTGTTTCCTGTTGTTGCTGCGACAGACCACCGCACATTCAGCGGCTCTAAACAGCAGGCACTCGTTGTCTCCTAGTCCTGAGGACAACAAGGGGCCATGCAGGAGGCACTGTCCCTCCCCCAACAGTACCCGTCTCACAGACCCTGGCTGAGCCCTCACTAGGGTCAGGTGCGCGTCAGGTGCTTCGGGGATCCCTCCTGGGGACAATCCCCAAAGGAGGTGCAGCACAGCTGGGGGGGGGGGGCCTGTGGGCCGTGCCAGGTGCAGAGCGCCTGGGGAAGGAGGCTGCATCTGGGCTGCAGGGCAAGGGGCTTCTGGGAAGGGAGCTCTGAGCCACGCTCTGGAGGAGCCGGAGCCGTGGGGCAGGCGTGGCGGGGCTCTGCCGCTCGCCACCCCAGGATGCCGGCTGAGTCTTGTCTGCAGGGCCTCCGGCCTGGAACAGCTCCTCTCTGCCCTTCTGTCCCACACACCTATCGTGTCCCGGCTGCCCCCCCCCCCGGGCCCCAGCAGAGAGCCTGACTTAGATCTCCAGTGCAGTCCCAGGTCAGCTCCGTGCTGCTGTCACCGGGAAGGGGGCGCCTGACACTCGGGACTCCGTCTGCCCTCTGACCACAGCCCTGAGTCCAGCCCCACGCACGGGGCCCACAGCAGAAAAGTGTGCAGCCCAAGCAGGAACAAAAGAAGTCTCTATGGGCCGATGAGACGCCATTTGAACCAATAAATTGGCAAAGACAGTTTTCAGATGAGGGCATGCAACACTAGCCTGGAAGCCAGGCGTCCCTGGGGCCTGGTTCCCTCCTCCCCTCACCCAGCTGTGGGCAGGACAGACCTATCCCCTGCCTAGAGAGGGCAGGCATGGACTCTGCATGGCTTAGAGTCCCATCAGTGGTGGACTAGGGCGCCAAGCAGGCACGTGTGCGATGGGGATCCTGTCACCGAGTGTGGGCGGAGGTGAGAGGGCAGCTTCCTCCCAGCCCCAGCCCCAGCCCCAGCCCCAGCCCTCTGCGCACTGCCCTTCCCTATACTGACGATCAGAGGTTGTGATACTGAGCCATGGCAAACAGTTCTTTCATGGAGCTTTCTGGTCAATGGTAAAATTAGCAGAACCCCAAAAAACAGGAATGCAAGCTAGCTCATTAGCTCAGTCATTAGCTCGTAATAGCACCGCCGGCATTAGCTGTCCCCTTGAGAGGATGATCGCAGGCACACGCCGATGAGTCCACTGGGGCAGAGCCGGCGAACAGAGCCACAGACAGCTCCGGGCTCCGTGGGGCTCCCAGGAACCGCCTGCTCCCCACAGAGAAACGGCCAGGCTCCTGGCGGCCTGCCCCTCCTCCGCCCCCTGGCTCTGCCCAGGTCGCAGGGACATCCGCTTACACTCCTCTGCCCCACGGTCCACCCCTCCCCACGCCTGGCCTGTCAGCAGGGGCTGTTCTCTTTAAGGAGGAACCTGGGCTGTTGTGATGCCTGCTTTCACGACTCCCTGAAGAAGCTCGGAATTACATTCCTGGAATGACCTCATTTCCCTGACACTCGGCCCGGCTTCTTTCCTGTTTGGAGCTAATGTGGCCGTGCAGCCATGTGGGTGAGGGCTGAAAGCCACTGTTCACGGCCCACAGTTCCTGTCTGGGGTCCTCTCAGGGTGTAGGGGGGCTCTGCACTTAGCAGGGGCCGCTCTCTGGGGCAGCACTTGCCACCAACCTCAGCAGGTAACTAGCAGGAGGCTTCGCAGAACGTCTGCTCTGCAGTAGGCAAACCGTGCCCTGCTCGGCGCTGTCCTCCCACGGCCTAGGGCTCTGCTAACTACGCGTGGCGACCTGGCCGGGCTACAGATGCCCCGAGAGCTGGAAGCACGTGACCGGGGTGTCTGCCTGGTGTCTCCCTGTGCCAGCAAGGTGCACTGTCCCCAGGGCAGGAGGCGGCACCCAATCTGCTGAGGGCCTGGACAGACGACAGGTGACTTCTCTCGCGCGCGTCCGTCTTCTTGGCCTTCATTCCTGGAACAGGCACCAGCGGCTGCCCCAGCTCCGGGGTCTTCCACCCTGCAGGTCACAGTCCTAGACTTCTCCATGCCCCCAAGGCAGTGCCTGTCCGTGTCTGTGTGTCCTGCTGCTTCCATCTCTCTGGAGACCCTGGCTCGTCCCTGCGTGGCTTCTGCGTGGCTGGGAGCTTTGGACAGCAAGGCCTGGTGCTGTGTCCCTCTGAAGGCCCGTGTGGGAGGCGGATAGCAGCAGAAGGCTGGAGCACAGCCTGGAGTACCCAGGCCCACTCTCCCACTGCCCCGTGATGCACTGGTCAGAGCCCAGGGAACCACCCCGCCTGAAAACCAGAGGGGCGGGAGGCTCCCGGCTTCCTCGCGTCCTTGCCTGAGCCTAGTCCAGGCATGACTGACCACACATGCAGTGCCAGCCCCGCCATGTCCTGACTGCCACCCTCCGTGCCCTCCTCAGCCCCTTCCACCGCCTGCTCTTCTCACGTCCCTTTCTAGAACCTTCTTTCCCACATGCCCGCCGGCCCTCACGCTCTCCCCAGCAGCTGGCACAGCCCTCCTTCTCCTGGATTTCCACCTCTCCTCTGCATGAGAGGCCGCCCCGTGCCTCCCCTGAGCTTCACTGTCACTCCCTTCCCACAGCTGGGCCGCACGCAGGGCCACGGTTTTCAGTCCCCTGTGCCAGGAGCAGGTGCTGGGGTCCCGGTGCCAGAGCCCGGTGCTGAGCGGCATTGAGCCCGCTCACAAACCCTGCCAGGGCCAGGCCCTTCCTCTGCGGGGATGGCGCTCGGGCTCCTGCTGTGGAAGCAGCCACTGATGCAGGCAGCAGCCCCCAGCACACACACCGGCCTCAGCACCAGCGGCCGCGGCAGCTTCCTCGCCAGGGTCGCCTGCGTCTGACCCTGATCCGGTGCGCTGTCTCCCAGCCACGCCTAGTGGGCCGTGATGTGCCCACTTACCCAGGGTCTCACCAGGAGGCCAGCAGGCACCTCCGCGGCATCCCCGGCCTCAGCATCTTTGGCAGGAATGGAGCTGTGATGAGGCCTTGCCCACACACGTCCTCGGCCGTGTCCCGCAGGAAACGCACATCTTCCCTCGTCCTGCCTGCTTGTGGTCATGCTTCCCTCCTGTGTGTGGAGGGGGGCCCAGGCCCCTCCCCAGCCACACGTTCTCTGGCTTTTAAGAAAAAGCCATGGGGCAGGCACTGTGGCGTGGTGGGTGAAGCTGCCGCCTGCCACGCTGGCATCCCGACGGCCCCGGTAGGCATCCCTTCTGGCTGCCCTTCTGAGCCTGATGTACTATGCATTCATTCAGAAACCCCGGGTACTTGGGACAGAGCTAGGAAAACCGCGACAGCTCACTGGAAGAGCCCGCACGGGAACACAGCACATCCAGGTCAGAGGCCCCGAGTCCTGGGCCATGAATCCCTCCCCAGCTAATCCATCAGGCAGCAAGTGCCCAGCACGGAAGGTAAAGGTCGAAGGGTGATAAGAGCGATCTTGGGGCAAATGGTCAAAGTTGAAAAACTCACCTTAAAGCTGCCATGTCCAGCCACAGGCAAGGGATCGCTGGACGGAACAGAGCCTGGTCAAGGCCAGCAGACAGCACCAGGTGCTCCCTGTGAATGGTGCTGCAAACCTGGACAGAGAGATGGAAAGGGAAGTCAAGGAACCTGGAGCCTCTCCCCGTCTCCATCACTCAATGGCCAGGCAGGGGCCTCACGGACAACACACAGAGGCACTAACCCTAGGACATGAGGGCAGCGCCTGGACAGCGGGGAGGGAAGGGCACTAAGGGTGGCTCGGCAGTGGAGACCCGAGACACACCTGACACACACCTCGGGCAGTGGCCAGGCAGCACCAGCGGCTGGGAGTCAGCCCGCAGGGGGTGCCCTGGCATCTTGAGACAAGAAGGCCCTCACCTCTGGTGCCCCCAGTCCCAGTCTGGTCATGAGGAAGGCATCAGAGTGGTCCCAGCCTGGGAGCAGCCTCAAAACTGTAACAGTCAGAAAAACCAGGGAGGGCCCGGTGCTGTGGCGCTGTCAGTCAGGCCTCAGCCTGCAGCGCCGCCATCATATGGGAGTGCCAGTTTGAATCCCGGCTGCTCCGCTTCCAATCCAGGTCCTCGCTAATGCACCTGGGAAAGCAGCAGCAGACAGCCTTGGTATGGAGCCCCTGCACCCACTTGGGGCCCGGATGGAGCTCCTGGCTCCTGGCTTCTGCCTGGCCCAGGCCCAGCCCCAGCCATCGTGGCCATTTGGGGAGTGAACAAGTGCATAGAAGCATGCTCTCTCTCTCCATCTCTGTAGCTCTGCCTTTCAAATAAGTAAAATAAATCCTTGAAAAGGGAAACAGGAAAATCCCTAGGAAACTCAGAAAAGCCCAAGGAGAGGCCAATGGAGTGTTGACGGGGCACAGGAGGCCATCGGGTGAGAACAGAGAGAAGCAGAATGGATGGTGGGCTCAGTAACTGGGTGGACTCTCGTTCACTGAGGCCGACACAGCACCACACTAACACGGGCATCGCTCCTGGCGAGCCTGGGCAGAGGGTACACAGGACTCCCAACTGTCCTCAGCACAGCTGGACAGGACTGACCCAGCTGCAGAACTGACGTTCACCTAAACACTTCCCGCCATCCACATGGGGGATCTGGATGGAGCTCCAGGCTCCCAGCTTTGCCTGGGCCCAGCCCTGGCTGTTGCTGGCATTTATGGAATGAACCAGTAGAAGGAAGATCCATCTGTCTCACTGCCTCAAACAAAAGAAAATAAACAATAAATTTAAAAAAGTACAATCACGAACTCCCTGGATATATTGGATCTTCGCAGAGTAAACAATTATCAACACAAACGCCCCCAAAAGGCTGGGAAGTCCCAACACAGATGGGACAAAAACACACAGACAGACGAACCTGCCGAAACCTCATGCTGACAACAGGAGAATTCCGGAACTCAACGGCGTGGAGAACCCGGCTCCACAGGGACAGACAGCTGGTGCACCCAAGTGCTCAGCCTCAGCAAGTGGACAGTGCAGCTGAGGGTCTCAGTGGGAGCCCCGCTGGCCCAGCAGCCGGACAACACTGGAAACCCAGGTGCTGAGGCGCGTCCATCGGGAATGCCCGCCTGTTAGCAGAGAGAATGCAAAATGTTGCAAGTGCTTAGGAAAACCCTGTGGCTTCTTAAACCCCCAGTAACCACCAGGAGTGCTCCTCGTGGAGGGAGCACCCAGGAACAAGTGCTTAGGAAACCCATGTGCCTTAAACCCGCGGTACCCACGGGAGTGCTCCTTGTGGAGGGAGCACCCAGGAACAAGTGCTTAGGAAACCCATGTGCCTTAAACCCGCGGGACCCACGGGAGTGCTCCTCGTGGAGGGAGCACCCAGGAACAAGTGCTTAGGAAACCCATGTGCCTTAAACCCACGGGACCCACGGGAGTGCTCCTCGTGGAGGGAGCACCCAGGAACAAGTGCTTAGGAAACCCATGTGCCTTAAACCCGCGGGACCCACGGGAGTGCTCCTCGTGGAGGGAGCACCCAGGAACAAGTGCTTAGGAAAACCATGTGGCTTCTTAAACCCGCGGGACCCACGGGAGTGCTCCTCGTGGAGGGAGCACCCAGGAACAGGTGCTTAGGAAACCCATGTGCCTTAAACCCGCGGTACCCACGGGAGTGCTCCTCATGGAGGGAGCACCCAGGAACAAGTGCTTAGGAAACCCATGTGCCTTAAACCCGCGGGACCCACGGGAGTGCTCCTCGTGGAGGGAGCACCCAGGAACAAGTGCTTAGGAAACCCATGTGCCTTAAACCTGCGGTACCCACAGGAGTGCTCCTCGTGGAGGGAGCACCCAGGAACAAGTGCTTAGGAAACCCGTGTGCCTTAAACCCGCGGTACCCACGGGAGTGCTCCTCGTGGGGGAGCACCCAGGGACCGAGGATGCTCCCATTTCACAGCCCGGCAGGCTGGGGCCACAAGGGAGGCCCTGTGTCCAGCTCTCCCTGGGCCCCACACCTGCCCCAGGATGCCCCCTCTTGCTCTAGGCCAGCACTTTCTGCCCCTGCTCTCCAGAGCTGCTAAGAACACGGAGCCCCCTGACTCTGCCAATCCTGCAGAAAGCCCGAGAATCTGTAACCAGACTGGTCCCCGCCAGATGCACAGCTGTCCCCTCCTGTCCCTCCAGGCCTTGGGGATCTGTCCTCGCCAGTGGGGAAGGCTCCCTGGCTCAGCATCAGCGGCAGGGTGGACACATGCAGGGGTCTGTGCAGAGCCCTGTGGTTGCTCTGCCCGGGGGGAAGAACCCATAGGGGATATCTGCTCATCACAGTAGGTCAGCGACTCCCCTCCCCACCATGGAAAGCCCGCTGGAACCACCACAGCCCCTCCCAGCCCTCACTCAGGAAATGGGATGCTCGTCCTGTCACTATTTTAAACCCCGTTTCAGGGTTGGGAGCAACGGAAGTTGTTCTGGGCTCGGTTTTGCGTGGGGATGCAGGAGAGCGCGACGGGAAGAGAGAAGACGCTGGCTGGGCAGGGGAAGTGGCCAGGGAGAGAAGCCACAGGAGGCGGGGCGCCAACAGCTCTGACCTGAGTGGGTGGGGCGTGGCGTGGTCCCTGGGGCCGGAAGCTGCTGTGGGCCAAGTGTCTGGAGGAGGCGGTGGGCTGGGCTGAGAGCAAGCACGCACAAGGCTGCCACCAGAGCCCTGGCCTGATTTAGAAGTGGCTGGGAGGAAGCAGTGTGACACTGTGGCCTTGTGGCCTCAGCGCCTGCTCTGTGTGGCTTCACACAGGAACTTCTCCGCTCCCTCCCTTCCCCTAGGGTTCCTGGGGACACCCAGGGACAGCGGAAGGGCAGCATGTGGTTACAAGTGCGCGGTCAGCCTGGAGTCAGAAAGCCAAGGTTGACCCTGGGTTTCCTGCACACTCACACACACGTGTGCATGCACAATGATACATATCCACACAGAGACACACACCTGTTCGCTCAGGCACACACATGGTCTGGACCTGCCTTGCCTGTGCCACACAGCCTGTGTCCAGCATGCCTGTGCCCAGGGCTGATCTCCTGCTGGGTCCTGGCGCCCAGGAAGTCCGCTGCTTCCTGATGTGGGACCCTCTCCAGCAGGAGCTCGGTCACTTAGCTTTCTCCTGTTACTCTGCGTCTGCCATCACCCAGGCCCAGGGCTGCACACTGCTCAGGGGCCAACACACCACGGGGATGAGGTAGGGAGGGGCCCCATGGGTCAGCGGCTGTCACTTCCTGTGAACCCCTGAGTGTCTGCTCTGGGGGTAACCCCAGGAGGAACCTGCTTGGAATCCACTGGTGTCCAGGCCCAGGGGCCTCCTGTTCTCATGCTCAGTAGCAGACAAGAAGTCAGAACTAGAGGTTGGACAGGGCCCCTGCGCCTGCTGTGGCTAAGACCCTCAAAGGCGCCCGTCCCCAGCCTCAGCTCCACCCCCATCTCAAAGTGCAGCTGCTGTGAGCCCAAGAAGTTGTTTATTTTTATTGAGCTGGTTATTTTGTCTATGCTTATGAAAAAGTTCCAGGGCACACAGTAAGTTAGAGCTGATCTGCGGAGATGCCCAGGCCGAGGGCCATTTCCTCGTGGACGCCGTGGGTCCTGCGGGTCTCTGGGGGGAGCCCCATGGGAATGAGGGGCACTGATGCCACAACCTGCTGCTTCTCTCTTCTAAGCATCAGAAAACAAGGAAGGTTTGTTTTGTACCCCTGGCATTCTGCTGGGCCTGGGTTTGTTTGAGAGACCAGGGCAGGGGCACCTGAGGCCACACGGTCACTGCAGGTGACTTGCTGAGCCTCCTACTGCAGAAGCTGTCCAGGAGCTGGGCTCCCTGGTGAACCTGGAGCCTGCTCCATCACACATGTCTGTGGGCTGCTTGTGGGAAGAGACAGGGTTTTACAAACAGAGTACTTGGCGCGTGTGATTTACACGGCAGGGTGCAGGGCCATCCTCCCAGAAGACAACCAGCCTCGGCCAGGGAGAGCGCGGGCGGGCAGAGCCCTCCCAGCCTGCCTCATCACTGGGGTTTTGGGCCAGCCCCAGCACGGCTGTTCTGCGAGGTGCCAGGGGCACCTGGCCCTCAGAACCCCAGCGTGCTGGAGTGGCTCTCAGACTCACCAGTGTGACCTGGCACGGGGCAGGGGAATGCCAGGGACACCTGTCCCCTCACCCCCGGCCTCCCAAGGCAGCTTTTGGCCTCCCAGGGCGGCTCCTGTTCACAGAGCTGCCTCCGAGCCCAGAGCCAGGCCAAGCATGCTGGGGTGTGACAGTGGCAGAGCTGAGTCAGGTGGCTGAGCGCTGGAGGGCCCCAGCTCTGCTGCCCCGTGCCAGGTCACACCAGGGAGTCCCTGCGAACTCTGCGGGGTGATACCTGCTGACCACCAGCCCACCATTCAGTTGTGCAACACACTTTTTTTTACATGAAATAAGCTCTAAATTCATACAGGTTCAGAGTAGCCCTCATCCAGAAACTCCCTGCCCTGAATCTCCCCAAGACCCGTCCGGGCCTCAGGCTCTGAACGCCCCTGAAGTAGTAAGGGCTTCTCCTTGGGGTGGGAGGGGCCATCCTGTGCTGCACGCCCAGCGCACCCCCTCCTCACTACCTGCTTGCTAGTCTGGCACGTGTGCAAGTGGGGCAGCAACTGTCCCCAGCCAGTGAACGGTGAAGGCTGCATCCAGGCCCAGCTCTGCCCCTCAAACCCCCACTGTGCCAGTGGCCTGGCCTGGCATGGCAGGGACTCCTCCCATCAGGCCCTGCCTCAATTTCCCCCAGGAGCTGGGGTGGTCCTGCCAGCCTGAGGGGAAGAACCCAATGACCTACTCGAGCTCCAAACCAGCGGCCCATGGCAGGTCAGCACCTCCCAAAGCAGGGAGCAAGCCCGTCCTGGACACATGTGACCCAGGGACCTCTGCCAGTGACAAGTGCCCAGCTCTGTGTCCTGGGCCGCTCAGCACAGAGGGCTGTGGGAGGGTTTCCTATCTCACGTGCTGGGCGCAATTAGAAGCAGGAGGGCTCTGCCGGGCCAGCTTGTGGGAGCCCGTGCGTGTGAGGGCATGTCTGCATGTCAGTGTGTAAGTATCCGTGCCTTGGCGTGTGGGTGTGTGACTGAGTGTCAGTGTGTGAGTATCCGTGCCCTGGTGTGTGGGTGTGTGACTGTGTGTCAGAGCGTGAGCATCCATGCCTCAGAGTGTGACCATGTATCCACGTGTCAGAGTGTGTATATCCATGTGTCAGTGTGTGAGTATCCGTGCCCTGGTGTGTGGGTGTGTGACTGTGTGTCAGAGTGTGAGCATCCGTGCCTCAGAGTGTGACCATGTATCCACGTGTCAGAGTGTGTATATCCATGTGTCAGTGTGTGAGTATCCGTGCCCTGGTGTGTGGGTGTGTGACTGTCAGTGTGTGAGCATCCGTGCCTCAGAGTGTGACCATGTGTCCACATGTCAGAGTGTGTATATCTGTGTCAGTGTGTGAGTATCCGTGCCCTGGTGTGTGACTATGTGTCAGTGTGTGAGTATCCGTGCCTCAGAGTGTGACCGTGTGTCCACGTGTCAGTGTGAGCATCCATGCCTCAGCTGTGGGCGACTGTGTGTCCATGTGTCAGAGTGTGTATATCTGTGTCAGTGTGAGTATCCGTGCCCTGGTGTGTGGGTGTGTGACTGTGTGTCAGAGTGTGAGCATCCGTGCCTCAGAGTGTGATCATGTGTTCATGTGTCGGAGTGTGTATATCCATGTCAGAGTGTGTATATCTGTGTCAGTGTGTATCTGTGCCCTGGTGTGTGGGTGTGTGACTGTGTGTCAGAGTGTGAGCATCCGTGCCTCAGAGTGTGACCATGTATCCACGTGTCAGAGTGTGTATATCCATGTGTCAGTGTGTGAGTATCCGTGCCCTGGTGTGTGGGTGTGTGACTGTCAGTGTGTGAGCATCCGTTGCCTCAGAGTGTGACCATGTGTCCACGTGTCAGTGTGAGCATCCATGCCTCAGCTGTGGGCGACTGTGTGTCCACGTGTCAGAGTGTGTATATCTGTGTCAGTGTGTGAGTATCCGTGCCCTGGTGTGTGGGTGCGTGACTGTGTATCAGAGTGTGAGCATCCGTGCCTCAGAGTGTGGACCGTGTGTCCATGTGTCAGAGTGTGTATACCTGTGTGTCAGTGTGCGGGCAGAGATAGTGAGCAGGGTGAGCGTGTTCCAGGCGTGACCCCAGCTGCCTGCAGGTCTCAGGTGAGCCTCTCTGGCCCCAGCTGCTTGCAGGGAGTGGCTGGGGTAGACATGCAGGGTCCCCCAGGGCAGGCCTTGCTCTCAGTTTCCTGTCCCCAAACCTTCTGCTAGGGCTTCCCCTGCTAGGGGCCTGCGTGTTCACGGAGCACGTCCTTGGATCCTAGCCCTGTGCTGACCTACTCCTTCCCCAGGG